GCACAAATCTGTGCACTGGGTCACTAGGAATTAGATAAAGAATAGAAAATAATTCATTCTGAAAGACTGAAGTTGGAATCCTGACTCAACCATTTAATAGCTCTGTGACTTTATCTTTCTGAGTTTCAGTTTCTACAGCTGTGACATGGGTATAAAACCAACGGCTGGAATTAAAACAAAGAAGGAATATAATATATGTAAATTGCCTGGCTCGTAGTAGGCATTCAATAAATATGTTCATGGACATTTCCCTCTTTCCTGACTCATCTGGAAATTAAATTTGACAGATAAATGGTATTCTTCTCACTCTCAAAGCTACCGTGGTGAGAAAAAAAATAACTAAATGAAACTATAAATCTCCTTGATTTAAAATTTTAAAGTAGGTAAGTAAAGAAATAAAACCAATAAGAAATAGAAAGAATGATGAAATTATACAACCCATATGAAAGCTAATAGTAATCATTTCTAATTTCCTTTTGGCTGTGATGATGACATAATTCACATTTAATCAGGGGGGAAATTACCTAAACTTTGAAAAGTAAAATTAAAAGTGTTTCATAAAAACAAAAATTGCTCCATTTTCCAGATGTCTTATGAGAAAACTATTTTCAAAATGGAAGTAAGGCCTTTTGGTCATTTATCTGAAAATACCTGTTTAAATGCCCACTATATGCCAACTACCACACTAAATGGCAGAGGGTATACAAGAAAAGGTGAATGAATACTTATTAAAGGCATAGTATATGCCCGGTGGTATATTAGTTTGCTAGAGCTGCCTACCACCAAATGGGTGACTTAACAGCAATTTGTTTTTTCACAGTTCTGGCGGCTGGAAGTCTAAGGTGCCAGCAGGGTTGGTTTCCTCTGAGGCCTCTCTTCTTGGCTTGCAGTTGGCTGCCCTCTTGCTGTCTCCTCACATAGTTCTCCCTCTGTGCATGCTCACCCCCGGTGTCTCCCTGTGTGAGTCCAAATTTTCTCTTCTTATAAGGACACCAGTAGGATTGGATTAGGGCCTACTCTAAAGGCCTCATTTTAACTTAACCACTTCTTTAAAGGTCTGTCTCCAAGTATAGTCACATTTTGAGGTACCGGGAGTTAAGGGTTTCAACATAGGAATTCTGGGGGAACATAATCCAGCCAGTAAGAAACATCATCTCACTTAAACATTGTCCTGAGGAGCTAGGCTCTAAGTGAATAAATAACTCATCAAATGTCACATAGCCAGTAAGTGGTGGAAATAAAATTTTAATCAAGGTCTCATTATGAGAACATCAAAATCTATGCTCTTTTTGCTATTCACACTTTCTCAAAAAATTACAAATCTAGTTGGGAAGACATAATAGGTTTTATTGATAAGGAGCCACTTATTCACTGGACTTGTGCTATTATGGAACAAATTCAGGATTAATAAACATTTATAGAATATTTATTACATGTTAGGCTGTGTTCTTTCACAAAAGAGTCAATTGACTCCCTTACACGAGGAATTGCTGACTGGCAAACAATAACAGTCCCAGTACATCTTGGCCCAAAGCCTACAGATGATGCTAAGCCAATAGCTTTCTAGAATAAGTATTTTAGACATGGCTGTCTAGTAAATCTCTTTTCTTCTGCATTTAGGTGTAGGCTATGTGTAGGTACATATGTGTGAAATCCTGGATCTGCTTTATAATATTCTACCAAATTGGCAATCTATACAACCTACAGTGGGCTTTCATCTGGATAGCATCTCAGGGTGAAAGACAAAAGCCTCAGGCTCTGTCTCTTGAGACTCCCACTTGTATGTCTAGGAATGAATGTTAGGCTAGATTGTGGCACCTGCTCCATGCTCTGAATGACCCTGAATTGTTGTTTAAAGTACTATTCTAGTTTGTGTTTTATTCTCTAACTACATTTTATGGATCTATACTCTGTGTTAAATTATAATTACATAATCAATAAGTTAAATAATTTATATTCCCAGATTATAACGTTTCCAAAGAAGACCACTCCAGGTATGCACACCAGGGGCCAAGGCATATGTCTAGAATTCTAATACATACCAACTCTGCCTATACTGTGTTATCTCTTATCACAACTAGAGAATCAGTAGTGAAAATTGTGAAAATTTAAAAATTATCCTGAGATATTAAAGGTATTACTGAGAGGTTGGTGATTATTCATTGTAAGAGAGGTTTTGAGCCTCATAACAACTCAAAATTGAAAGCAGGAGTAAAATTCCTGTGTCCTCCTTCTACCAGCAGGAAAGAAACAAAGAATAGCAACTGTAGAAAAATAGCTAACATATATGGGGAGACTAAAGGACGGTAAGAATTATTTTAACAAGGTCCGTTTTACAGATTTCTCTCAACTTAGACTCACTTTCTCTGGTGATAAGAATGCAAACTTCATAAAGGCAGGTCGCCCTTCTTTGTTTAACCCAGCAGACAAACACTTAGGCCTAGCTACTTCTCTGGGTCTTTCATTATCATGTGGGGGTTCTCATGCATACGTAAAATCTGATTTTCGTATATACGTATATCACTTATTATAGGTGCTCAAGGAGGCTGAGTTGTAGAAATCCATTACTTTTTGTGTGTGTGCTCAAATAAACTTTAATTACACAAATAATTATTTTTGCTAAACCCAGTCCTCTTTCTCCCTGAGAGGCATTCAGTTGCATCACCATCATAAAGATAGAATAAGATGGAGCCACAGGGTCAAACAGAGAAATACATATTTCACATACATGCTCATCCCACCAGGTTTTCCTCAACTCCTAATACTGCTTTAGGTTAAGTGTATTCTACTGCCAAGGTTGGGGTGGGAGGGTGAGGGTTTGGATCTGAGCAGGCCCAAAAATGTACTGTGCAAGACCTCAGTCTCTCTCCTCCCTCTGGAAGTTCCAACTGTAGCAGAAATGAAGCTAGAACTTCTCAAGAATAAAGTTTCCAGCACGAATGCCCTTGATATCCCCCAAGTGTCTCTTTCCCTTTGGAAGTGGTTATAACTGGCCCGATGATTACTAGGGATTGACCAGGTGTCAGAGGTATGCAGATTAAGGCAGATGGACTCATGGTGGGGATAGCTGCAGTTGTGTGGGGCTGAGAGTCCAGCTTTGAGGTACTGAGGAAGGAGGGCTCTGTTCTCACTCTGAAAGTCAGTAAAGCATTTCCAGAGGGAGCCAGAGCCCAGACTCTGTATGAGCTTTAGAGAAAGGGCCAAGTCACTGAACCACTCCTCCAGCCAGAGGTAGAAAAGATTTACTGTGGAGAGACTCACTAGAGCACCAAGAACAAACAGAAGTTACACATGGGCAAAAGGAGAGAAAGGTATCATAGTGATGATAAATCCAAGCAAAGCTGAAAGGTAAGACCCCAGGACTGAATACAGGGACCCAAGGAAGCAAGTCAAGAAAAATACATTCATGGTTGCCTACGAAAATTGGCAGTAGCCTAGCTTTCACAGGTAGGGGAGAGGAAAATGACTAAGATACTGCACAGAGGACCTGAATTGTGGGAGCTAGAGGTTGCTTGGGGCAAAGTTAAAAGGTTCCAGGCACTTTCAGGAGGCTGGCCAAGAGTGTTATTGGGAACTCCAGTGATGGACGTACTAGAGGCCTGTAGGGACCTCAAGCCCTGAATGGGTCAGCAATTCTCCATCCCAAAGGGCAAAGGCAGGTACCACTGAACCCTGGAAATCTGTCTGTAGCATGTGGACCACAGCAACCCTGCTCACATCCACCAAGCTCAGCTTCTGGGCCTCATACTCCAGCAGCAGCCCCACCATCTCTGGATGCCCGATGCCCTTAATAGGGGCTTTCTTGTTGGCCAACATGGTTTGCCACTTGCGCTGGGCATAGGTTAACACCCAAGAATGGTCATCGACACCGATGCAGCTATCCCGAGAAATGTCCACATCTGCCACTCCTACCCGCAATTGCTGGGAGCGCTTCACTGTTACCTCCCAATAGTGCCTGCCACTGGTGACCACTGTGTCTGCCAGCACCACTGCCCACTCCCGGAAACGCTCCACATTCAGGGCCAATTTGGTGGGCTCCAATCCCATCATGCCATATTTGACACCTGTGTCATCTTTGAAGAGTGCTAGGCTGCTGTGGGCAGTTTTCTCTTCCAGTTTGAAACTGACGCTTCTGCGGCAGCAACCCCCAATCGTTTGGCTCCCCAGTGGCACAGGCAAGATGAACGTGCAAAGGGTACTTTTTTTTGTTTTGAGGTAAATTCTTTGAATATCAATTACACCATTTTCAGAAAACATGTACACAGGCACATTTCAAAGTTTGATCTGATTTTTAGAAGTATTATTCTACTTCTGCTTCTCTTCTACAGCACGAATATTTAAGAGTGTTCTTTTTTTTTAAAATGTATTTTTAAAACATGTATTATTAATGCCCTAGTTGGCATTGCTCAGTGGTTAGAGTGTGGGGAGGCAACCAATCAATGTGTCTCTCTCACATTGATGTTTCTCTCCCTCCTTCCATCCCTCCCTTCCACTCTTTCTAAAAATCAATGGAAAAAATACCCTTGGTTAAGTATTAATAACAACAAAATTATAATAATAAACTAAAATGTATTAATAATGGGAATTCAGTTGTGATTTTTCAAACGGTCTCAACTGAGTTAAGTGGGATCCCCCCTCATCTCCACTACCTGTTGCCTTCTACACAATAATATAAAGTGGGATACATGCTCAGGTTGAGAGCAGCTCTGATCCCTGCATTTCTTTTTCCTCAAGCTGAGTATCCAAAGACAACTGAGATTTTCAATTTAGACACTTTTGCTTTTAGGCCCAGAACTACCTGACTCCAAGACATTTCACAGACCACATGATTTCCAACCTGCTGTCAGACAGTAAATCACTGATACAGTTCAAAGCAATCAGTTCTCCCAGCTGGAGATAGACGGAAAGAATGCCAATAATGCAGGCCCTCCCACCCCAGCGGCTCTCTGTGTACATGGGATGGACAGTGCCCGGTCCCCTGAAGTCCAGGAAATACCTACCTCTAGCTTCAAAACATCATGCTGAAGTTTACGCTGAAATTCGAGGAAGTTTTTGATTGTCAGCTTCCCTTTGAGATCAGCTCCAAAAAAGTAGGTTGTGAGGGCTGAACACAAGCCAGACTTGAGGGTGTTTCCAGTAGTAGGACGATCTCTGTGACGCATACCCATACTGGTTTGGGAGCGAATGATGCTCTGAACCTAAAGAGAAGCAAACGCCCATCCAGAAAAACATTACAAAGTGAAAAATTAGAGAAAAGTAGGGAAAATAACTGCCTATTGATTGTTTAGTCTTTGCCTTCACTATGGTACAATTCTTTCTTTCATTTTACTTTACTTAAAAAAATCTTTATTGTTGAAAGTATTATAGATGTCTCCTCCCCCCCCCTAGCTCTCTACCCCATGCTCACAACAATCCTATGAGAGAAGGCCTATGATTATCCTTATTTCACAGATGAGAAATTTGGGGCACATAGAGTTAAATAATTTGCTCAAAGTCAAGTAGCAGCACCAGGATTCCAACACAGATGCCTGATACTTTTATAATGGGGACCCACCTAAAAATATCTCTTCAGAAAAGAATATATATTTGTTTTGAGGCTCAAAACCTCTCTCACAATAAATAATCATTAACCTCACAGCAGGCTCAAAACCTCTCTCACAATAACTAATCATTTACCTCACAGCAATACTTTCCTTTTCTCAGGATAATTTAAAAAATTCCACAATTTTCACTACTGATTCGCTAGTTGTGAAGAGTGACAGCACAGTTTTAGGCAAATAAATACTTAACATCTAAGAGAGATAACATTAGAATGATATATGAAAATGCAAAATCGGTATGAAATAACTCTCCAAGAAAACATGGGGAATTAGTTCAATCTCTGAGAAGTTTTAAAAGCGCTTTTTGAGAAAGGATAACTTTTGGGACTACAACTATGGCTTAATGATACATATAAAGAGTTTTGAGGCAAGTCAGTAATTGCTATAGCTTTTTTGCCCCCACTAGTTCCTGCAGTTTTTTCTACCTCTTTACAAGCTAAAAAACACAGCTATTCAGAACAACTAAAATTCGATACATAAGGGTAAATAATAAAGGTATGTTACAGAAATAAACAATATATATAGTCTTGATGTTTAAATAGCCAAATTAGAAAAGCGTAATATTTAAACTTAAGATTTGTAACAACAAATTTTACCTTAGTTAAATGTTTTTTATTTCACTTGTTATCTATGACCATAAAAGTATTTATTTAAGACGACTTAAAAGTCTCAGGCTCTATAAAGGGTGGAAAAGTATAATGGAAAGACTAGTCAGGAGACACGGGGTCTGATTCTGTTACTCTGTAGTGAGAGTAGAATTTGTGCAAATCATTTAACCTCTTTAAGCCTTATTTTTCTCATTGTTTGCAGAGCACATTATCGCTGTCTTCTAACTCTAGGTTAATATCATAAATGGTTTTGATTATGATTTTTTCTGGGCTCATATTTTATTTATGTAAATAAGATTGGTTGGCATTTTTATTCATTGACTGATTTTAGATGGAGAGGAAGGGAGAAATAGATAGAGAAACAACAATTTGTTGTTCCACTTATTTATGCATTCATTGGCTGATTCTCGTATGTGCCCTCACTGGGGATTAAGCCCACAACCTTGTTGTATTGGAATGACACTCTAACCAACTGAGCTACCCGGCCAAGGCCCAGATTGGTTGACATTTGTTTCTCAGGCACATGGAGACTTAAAAGGCAGGTATGTAATAGATTTTAAAATTATTTAAGTTGAAGTTTTTTAGACTTTCTCCTTATTTTTTTAAATATGTTTTTTATTGACTTTACAAAGAGAGGAAAGGAAAGAGAAACATCAATGTTGAGAGTGAGACACTGACTGGCTGCCTCCTGTGCACCCCTGACTGGGGATCGAGCCCACAACTGGGACATGTGCCCTGACCAGGAATTGAACCAGTGACCTCGGTGGATGGGTTGACGCTCAACCACTGAGCAACACTGGCTGGGCATAGTTTTTTAGACTTTAAATTGAAATACAGGATAATCAGAAAAGTGCTTCTTCTATTTGAAGGCAATACATAATTCATTTTATCTAAGTGAGTACTAAAGAATTTTCCAATAGCAGTGAACCAGTATTGAAGCAGTGTTAGAACCTACCATGATTTAAATTTTGCTTGTGGCTATAAATATTATAGCTTATAGCCCTGCTGTTGTGGAAGCTGTATGTTAGCTTCAAAAGTGTGGTGCTGAGAGTATTTGTATAAGTGACTGGGAAAAAAATGTGTTTAGGGAAAATTAACTAATGCTATAGCATCTTCATTAACTATTAACAATAACATAGTCCAAATACTGTCACACTTATGTGTAAACTATTAATAACTATAAGTATTCTTTCATTAAAAACTTTACTGAAAATTACATATCACTAGATTTTTGTGTGTGTGTGTGTGTGTGTGTGTGTGTGTGTGTGTGTGTGTGTGAGAGAGAGAGATTAAGTGAAAAATATCCAGAAATAAGCAATTCGTAAGTATTTTTAATATATTTTTTATTGCTTTCAGAGAGGAAGGGAGAGAGAGATAGAAACATCAACAATGAGAGAGAATCATTGATTGGCTGCCTCCTGCATGCCCCCCACTGGGGACCGAGCCCGCAACCCAGGCATGTGCCCTTGACCAGAATTGAACCTGGGGCCCTTTGGTCCACAGGCCGATGCTCTATCCACTGAGCCAAACCAGCTAGGGCACAATTCATAAGTTTTAAATTGCATGCCATTCTGGGTAGTGTGATGAAATCTCTGGCCATCCTGTTTCATTCCACGTGGGATGTGAACCATCCCTTTGTCCAGTATATCTATGCTCTATCTGATACCCACCTATTAGTCACTTAGTAGCCATCTGTTATCAGATCTATTGTCACGGTATCACAATGCCTGTGTTCAAGTAGTCCTTATTTTACTTAATAGCCCCAAAGCACAAGAGTGTGGTGTGGACAATTTGGATATGCCAAAGAGAAGCCACAAGGTGTATGCACGTTTAGGAAAAATCACAATATGTATAGAGTTGGGTACTATCCAAAGTAGCAGGCATCCACTGGGGGTCTTGGAACATTTCTCCCTTGGATAAGGGAGGACTATTTGATGCAGATATAATACAAAGGACAAGTATGGCAGAAAGAATGGAGAAGGAGTAAATGGTATGTGGTTGCAGTTCCCACATTTTATGTGACATAGTAAAATATGAATTCTAAGTAGACTGTATATTTAAGAGTGTAGGATGGCCCCGCTGGTGTGGCTCAGTGGTTGAGCACTGACCCATGAACCAAGAGGTCACAGGTTCGATTTCTAGTCAGAGCACATGCCTGTACTGGGGGCTCGATCCAGAAGGGGGTATGCAGGAGGCAGCTGACCTATGTTTCTCTCTCATTGATGTTTCTATCTCTCTATCCTTCTCCCTTCCTCTCTCTCTCTAAAAAATCAATAAAAACATATTTTTAAAAATGTATGATGGACATAGGGTGCAAATTTGAACGTCTCTAGGTATTTTAAAATATTTGTCTCTGAGCATTTCTTACTTGCCATTCATCCTTGTATTCTGAAACTGTCTAGCAGAGTAGCTGTTTGATAAATGTGGCCTGAATATATATGATTGAATATCCATAACTTAGCCTCTCAGCATTATAGTTTAATTCATATTGGGAAATCAGAGCAATCTTGACCTTAATCGTATACTCAAATAATTCCTTATGTTTAGAGTTAAAACAAGAAAACCCACATGTTAAAAGTTAGTAGTTTTGAAAAATGATACATTAGGTACTTCAAAAATTGGGTAGCATCTGAATCTACTGACCAAGGCCAAGGTAACTCCAAATAACATGTAACTGGGTTAAATATGAATGCATTTAAAGGAACTTTCCAGGACAACTTGCCTGTTCAAACTCCTCCATGTCTACTTCTCCATCTCCATTCAAGTCGAACATCTTAAAGGCAATTTCAAAATTTCTCTGAGGAGCTGCAAGTAGAAAGGAAGAAAGGAAGGATAGGAAGGAAGAAGAGAGAGAGGGAGGAAAAAGAAAAATATTTTAGATGGCATTTACAAAAAAAAAATCAGTCCTTTAAGAAAAACAGATGAACACTAAAAAATAATATCAAGTCATAGAATACCAATGTATTTATCTAGATCAACCTTTTTGTGATACTCCTTAAAACCAAAAGAGAATTTTAGCATAGCCAGTAAAGATAACACTTGTCTATCTTTGTGTTTCAATATTCTCTTAAATACGTCTACTTTGCTTTCTTAGACACAATCCTCTTAGCTGTGTAATACTAATGTTGTTGCTCTGTTACTTAAATATAGTATCGTTTGCCTGGGCATGAAAGTCTGTCTGGAGTGAGACATATTGCTGCAAAGAAGTTGAAACGCTCTTTGTCTTGCTTTCTACCCTCTCTATTTTAAGTACAAGAAGTTCAGTGGATGTCATTCTACCAACAGGTTATTATCTGTACCACTTTACTCATTGTCACGATAGCTCTGTGGTAAGGCAGAAAAATACTGTATACTGTTAGCTGTTCAGCCCCCTATTTCAACCATGTCAGCTGGGTATAGAGTAAAATATACTTAAACGTTAAATTTATGCTAAACTTTAGATCCTGAAAATATGGTATATTTTCTTTCCCTTAAGTGAATGATGAAAGCTCTTGAAGACTTTCTTATTGTTCCTAGATCAATGAAAACATAATGTACTTATGCATTAGAATAATATGTAAATACAACAGCCCTCTTTCCTCACCATGCTAAATGTTCTGATAGCCCTAGCCAGGTTTCTCAATGGTTAGAGCGTTGGCCTGCAGACTGAAGAGTCGCGAGTTTGATTCGGGTCAAGGGTATGTAACTTGGTTGCAGGCTTAATACCCAACCACTTACAGGAGGCAACCAATCCATGTATCTCTCATATCTCTCATATGTTGATGTTTCCCCTCTCTCTGTCTCTTCCCCTCCCTTCCATTCACTCTAAAAAAAAAATCAATGGAAAAATATCCTTGGGTAAAGATTAACAACAACAAAAAATGTTCTGATAAAGAAAACTTCCTTTGGTGCTTCAAATTTATACAGCTGTAGAGAACAAACCAAAATAAAATATCCTCATACTATTGAAGTAAATTTTTAGCTAATATAACTTTCACTAAAAAAAATTTAAAGATTATATGTAGACAAAAAAAGTGAAAAAGAGCTTAGGACATTATGCATAGTTGTAGAAAGTCCACATTCCCATCTTAGTTAGGAATTTGTCAACAGAAAATTGAACTTCTAGTCTTAAATTCCAGTTTCAGCTTGATAGCCAGTGAGGGTGGCAAGCTCCTGGTTTTTGGTTCCATGGGTAAATGATGTGCCTGTCCACTTCCAATTGCCTGCCTCACCTGATAATGGCCTGCAACTGGTTTGCTCTTCTTTAGGCCACAAGTACAATTACTAAGAAGGATGCAGCCGGGGAATTAGATTTTTATATTATTCACTGCTGCCTCTTAAATTTTCCCTACCTGTCCAGATGCTATCCTTTACTGAAGAGTTACTATGTGCCAAACACTGAGCTGGAAAATTTAAAGCAGTTGAGAATCTGATACTGCACTCTCAATCCTGCAAGGCTTTATTTCTTTATATTTTAGTTAGAGGAGGAAATTGTGTTCAAAATCATACAGCAAACACGTGACGGAATTGGCAAGTGAACCTAGGTCAAGGCTGACTCCAAAGCCCATAATGCTCCCCGGCTTCCAATATGAAGGAAGACAGTAGTACTTATAATAACCAACTCACTGTTTATTCTGATATATTCTGACTTAAAAAACAACAACAAACGTGACTCACTGGTTACATCAGTCTCTGCAACAGCTGAGAGTTACAAGTTGTTCATCTCAAAGACATACCTGATATCAAAGAAATACTGCATATGCCATGCTCAGCAGTTTAGACTTGGCTGCACTAACTGGAGACCTATAGGCAACATTAGATTCTCAGACAGGACTGTCAAATGTTTTAAAAAATTCTGAATATGAATTTCTTTAGAGAGGAATACACTCTCCTATTCTCCCCACTGTCTCACATTTGGCCCACTTCACTCACACACATTATCTGCTTACTCCTTGCAGATACCTGAGACTATAATAACTGCAAACAATACAAAGCCACTGAAAGTTTTAAGCAGAGGCGTGACACAATCAAGCAGGCAGTTATGAAGGACTTCTCTGGCTACAGTGAAGGATGAGTTGGAAAACAAGAGCCATCTGCAGAGAAGACCATTGAAGGTCTTATAAATGTTAAAAATAGGCTTGAGCTGATGGCAATGGTAGTAGAGAGGAGAAAACAAATTTGAAATAGCAAGGCAGAAATTATACAACTTGATTATAATCAGCTATGATGAGCTGAGAGTGAAAAGGGATGAGGGCATGACTGACTTAGGCTACTGGGTAGCTTGCACATCATTAACCAAGAGATATAAGAGATGGAAAAGGTTTGAGAAATAAAATGAGTTCAGATCAGACCTGCTGAATTCAAGGGGTCAACAGCATATTCAGATGAAAACGTTCAGGAGGTAGTTAGAAGAGAGGGATTAGAGCTGAGAGTCATTAGCATAAGTGTGGTGAACTGCAAAGAGCCTGAAGTGGAGTTGCCCAAGGAGGACTGAAGGTTGAGGAGGATAAAGAAAGGGTAGAACGCAGTTGAAAGAGAACAGAAAGGAAGGAGTGACAGAGGAGGTGGCATCACAACATCAGGAGGAATACAGTCCAAATGAATAGAAATGGAAAAAATTTGGCAAGAGCCAGTCAGTATGTTGCTACCTATGAATTAAAGCAGCATTTTCATTCCTATCTCCACTAATTACAGAGGCTACACAGAGTACTTAAAATTTTAGCTTTATCATAATTGTCCTATTAGTTCTGTGAAGGCATGTGCCCGTATCATTTAAATGACTGAATGAGTTACTCTAGCAAATCATAGTTCATATGTCCTCTTACATAAATTAGGATACAATTCAGTTTACCAAACAAAGCTGCTTTAGGTTTCTTTATCTTTTTATCCTGGCTTCACTACTTTCAAACAGAGTATTTGCTTTATGTGGAGCTACTCAGAGTGTTTAGTAAAGTGCATGTGCTGACATTCTAGAGGCTGAGCCCTATGCACTGGTCACTGATAAGGCAAGTCAAGGCAGCAGCTTGCACCTTCTCATTTAGGCTTTACCCGGCCATCAGGGAACGTCCTTCTTTCCAGTGTAGTTCTCTCAGCCTATTCAGTCTTCATCTGCTGATCATGTCCAAGTATTTAAGATAAACAAGCAAAAAATCAGCTTGCTTTAAGTGAAATATGCTGCACAGGAATATCCGTTAGGCAATTCTCTTGAACTTCCCAGTCTCCTCTTAAATGTAGGCTTCAGAATAATTCTGAAATCCAGCTGTTCTGGAAAGCTTTCCGGTGCCTTGTGTATACACTAACAACCTATTTCTATAGAAAGGTATTGAGAAAGGAATTCTGTTGAATCCCAGGCTACTTACAGAGAGAACAGTGAAGCTTTCCCCTCCCCGTGTTAACAACATATCTACCTCTATACAGTGATCCCAAAATGATCGTAACCTATGTAAGAACTGATTAAAACAATAAAATTCCATGCAAAGTTCATTACTATACAGCTTTTACTCAGAATTCCACAACAATCTTTGCTATAGGAAATGGAGATACAATAGGGTCTGTTCTAGTTAAGTATCATTTTTATATTACGCTATAGTAACAATAACAACTCTAGACTGTTCTTTGAAGCACAGATTTTTCTACTTTGCTCTTTAATGGAAAATGCAGAGTAGGACTCTAATTTTGGCTCTTCCAACAATATAATGAGTCATTATGTCTTAAATTCTTTTTGGTAGTACTGACAGAATGAATAGGTTAGCCCTGGCCAGTGTGGCTCAGTTGGCACCAAAAGGTCAAGGTTCAATTCCTTGTCAGGGCACATACCTAGGTTGCTGATTAAATCCCCAGTCTGGGTCAGGGCAAGTGTGGGAGGCAGCCGATTGATGTTTCTCTCTCATCTATCTCTCTCTCCACCTCCCTGTCTCTCTAAAAATCAATGGAAATGTCCTCAAGTGAGGATTTTTAAAAAAAGAGGATAGGTTAGATTCTTATTTTCTGTTGGTTAGATGCTCCCAATGATGGGGGGGACGGACTTATAATCTGATAGATAGAGCATCTGAATTAATCTGAAAGATAGTCATATTATTTTGAAATTCTGAAATACATATATGTATAGGAATTGAGGGTTAAGTTTCGTATATGGGAACAGAGGGTTAAGTTTTTCTCTTTTCTAAGTTTCATTTCTCAGGCTGGTGCACTTGCGTACTCCCTTTAATCATGAGCAAAGTGATTCAGGAGGTGATTCATTTCTGGACAATGTACACTGTACCCAGCAAGCAAGCAGAACTGTTAAGCATGGTCAGGCCAACACCACAGGAGCCAAGACATCATCTCATCGCCTGACAACCAAGAACAATAGTTGAATTCTGCTAACCCCCAGGACTGAATGTAACTGTATTCTGTTCCCAACCTCACCCCAGTCCATTTTCCCGATATCATCTTGTCCCCTGCACCTTGCTGTAAGACAGGTTTTGGATGCTTGTAAGCTCCCTGTCTTCTTGTTTGGCTGGCTCTCTCAATAAATGCTTTATATGAGCCAACCCTGCCTCCATTATGGGACATTGCGAAGGCAGCCCGAGCCCACCTGGGGGTTTCCCGGTAACACCATCACAGAATTCCTACCTGCACCATTCCTGTTTTAAAATGATGCTGTAGGACAAATGAGGTAATTAATATGCAATATCAGAGAACTCTGAATTAGGAAAATACTTTAGAACATAATGAACTTCTAGTCAATGATCAACCTCACTACTGAATTTCTAAGGATGATCACATAGCCTTTGATTATTTCTAAGAGGAAGGTCATCACTTCTGAAGTCTAACCATGGTTGGGA